TCAAAGGTTCTAGATAACCCTTTATGAGTGTCTCCCTGGCTTCCGTCGTTTCTGTCATCTCTGAATGTTTTTACAATAAGATTTGGATGATTTCCCTCTCTCTTAATATTCTCGCGTAAATCCCTGTTTCTTGGGATAACTTCCTAGAAGCCGGTTGCTTGCTTAGGTGCGAGATCCTCCTTCTGGTGCACCGCCGCGCCCCCTGCGGACGGCAGCGGGAACTGCGGTTCTGGGCTGCCATTGGCCTTGGCTCGGGCAAAGCTGAGACTGGCAAGGGAGGAGCAGTCAGTCCTGCGCTTTTGCACGGATTGAGCCGGCGAGCCAGGCGACCAGGCGCGCTGCACCGAAGCTGCAGGAGCCTGAGAAGAAAGAGCCAGTGTGCGCCGGGCAAGTCCAAAGGCTTCTCCAGGCACAGCAACTGGCGGGGAGGGGAACGGGGAGGGAGGCCACAATCCCCCACCAGGACAAAGGGGCCTCAGTGCTGGTGAGCAGGCGGCTCCCGGGGCCTGGTGGTAGCATAAAGGGAAGCTGTGTCTTCGCAGCACTCAAGATCACCTTTGTCTTCTGAGTCCAAGTCAAAGAAAGGTTACAGAAGGAGCCTGCAGGCTCTCCTCCCTCCGCAGGGGTCTGGTCCAGAGAAATAGCCAAGTTCTTTCCCAAGATGCTGGGAAATGAGATGAAAATAGAAATGTGCTTGCCTGGTTGCTGCGACAGTGGTCAGTTGTGTAGAAGGCACGTCCTTTGGCTAGGGCTCCCTGTGAAGGAAAGCCAGATCAAAGGATGGGAACCCGTGGTCCGGAAGCGGCCAAAGCACACGAGATACACACGCAGCAGTAAGAATTCACCCTCATTGGGAAGTGGCAGAGATCCGGAGATGGGCCCGTTTATTCCCAGCGGACTCTAGCCAGCCATTCACTTGTGTCTACTGTCTCTTCGGCAACTCTATGCAGACCTAATAGCTGCACCCCTTTGGCCAGTAGGGAGACCAATGGGAGAAAGGTAGAGGCCATCATCTTTACATTTGGTCTCTGATTGGTCTCCTGGAGTTGACACAAGATTAGACATCTTGGACTAGATCTCTGGTGCCACTTAAGCCAACTGGGGCAAAGTACTCCTGGCTGAATGCACTAAGTCACCCCAGTAGCTTGTAGCAGAATGAGAAGCTGGCATGAGCAATATGAACTGCCCCTCACTCCCGAACACATTCCCACACACGTAAATGTGCATCCATTTTCTAACCCTACAACAGGGCATCTCTCCACATTCACTAATTCATCCCCTCAACAGCCAACAATGACTGCCCGACTTGAGAGAGTCAATCCTGAGACTATTAATGATACTCTCCTATGCTTTCAGACAGGAACCAGGCATAACTGTCTTCTGAGAGAGGCTTAATCCAGCAGCAGATCGAGGCAGAGACCCACAACCAAACATCAGACAGAGTCTGGGGAGCCTTGTGGAAGAGTGGGGGACAGAATTGAACAAGCTGGAGGGGTTCAGATCACCACAGAAGACCACAGAGTCAACTAACCAGGGGCCATGAAGGCTTACAGAGAGTGACCTACCAACCAAGAAGCATGCAGGAGCTTGACCTAGCCCCCCTATTTGTAGCAAATGTGCAGCTTGGTCTTTGTGTAAGAAGTAGAGTGGAGACTGTCTCCATCTCTGCTGCCTGCCATTGGCTCCCCTTCTCCCTACCTGGACTGCCTGGTTGGGCCTCAGTGGGACAGGATGTGCCAAGTCCTGCTGACTAGATGCCCCACAGTGGGGTGGTACATAAGGAGGGTTCCCCCTTCTCTGAGGAAAAGATAGGGGAAGGGACTTGTATGGGTGGGGCTGGGAGGAGAGTAGGGAGGGGGCTGTGATCGAGATATAAAGTGAATAAAAAAAAATATTGGAGAAAAGTTAACAGCCCTGTTATTTGATCAAGGCCCACTGTCTAAAAATGGCAGAGCCAAGCCTCTAGATGATTCTACACCTGTACCCTGGCTTCCCTGACACAGAGTGACATGGGCGATTATAAAGAGACACAATAGGTGAGCCACTGCCTTATAAAAATAATATCTAATAGTCATAAAAGGCTGATAAGAAACTAAATCAACAGGGCATCTAAGTCAGACATGGGGAAAGGTCTGAGCTGAGTGGGTGACGGAGAGACAGCTTAGGCCACTGAACCCATTCCTCATTGTATTGCCCTTCACGAACACAGTGCTTTCCACAGTGTGAAGGTTTGCGCTGACCCTCTGCTGGGCACATCTGTTGGTAATAAGCACTCACTTCAGCTCTCAGCATCCTTATTTCAGTAATCCTACCAATGTTTCAAATGCATTCATTATCATTACACTTGTACCGGTGATCTAGGCTCAGTGACCTTTGATGATGCTGGGTTATGTCTTGGGGGTGCCTGTGAGCCATGCCCATGTAAGACACAGAGCTGAACATCAGAAAATACTGTAGGTGTTCTGGCTGCTTCATCAACCAGCAGCTGTCTTTCTCCATCTCCTAGGGCTTCCCTTTTCTCTAAGATAGAACAATATTGAAATTAATAACCATACTATGTTTTGTAAGTGTTGAACTAAAAAAAGAAAAGTACACATCTCTCACTTTCAATCAAAAGGTAAAAAGGAACGGTGAAGGCTGGAGAGGGCATACCCAAGATGGAGACAAGCTGGAACCAGCCAGCGAAGCAGTGAACCCACAAGGGCCATGAGGGAAACTGAGTATCAATCCAGGGCACACACACATGGCAATAGAGCACAAGAGCCGAGTGGCTGTCACAAGTCTAGTGGTATAAACAAGAAAATCGTATTAGCTACAGCATTCCCTTAAGACAGAGCCCAACCCAGAGCCAGACTATTAACTCTCCTCAATTCTAAGAAGCTGGAAGACTTAGGGAAGTGTGCAGATGTTGGTTCACTGGGACTGAAGAAAGCTGCTGCCCCTGTCACATGCAAGAGCAAGGTAGAATGGCACATGGGGTAGGAGATGTGTCAAGCTGGGTGGGTATGGCAGCCCAGGCCTGGAAAGCCAATGTGCAGGAAGTGGAGGCAACTTAGGGAGGTGTCTCTACAGAACAAACCAGGGTAACAAGAACCAAAGCCACTTCTTTATACCATAGCCACTATTAAATATTTTATTACAATAACAGAGAGCTAATACATCTTCTGAAAGGCTATAGCTGCCATAGATAGCGATTCCCCTGATGGATATTGGTGAAAAAAAATTAAAAACCTTCTGAAAATGACCACTCCAGATGTCATCAGAAAGTCATGGGCTGGGGATGTGCCTCAGAGACAGAGTGTTTGCCTAGTGTGTGTAGTTGTGTTCAATTCCCAGCACCAAATTTTTAAAAACTGTGACTCTTGGGAGAAGTGTCAGCATCAATTCCAGCTCTTATGGATGATGATGAAGGGCTCCGGATTTTAGTAGAGAATTAACTATGGATGCGGCAAACATAACAAAAGCATCAGAAGGAAAAGCAGACTTGGGGTGTGACGGGGACCATCTCTCATACATGGCTTTAGTAATGAGTCACTGCTCACACATGAGCAAAAGTAGTGGTGTCCTGGGGTGGAGTCTATGCCTGGCAGAAAAGCTATACGCTCTGCTGTCATGGGAACAAAGTAGAATAATCAGAATTAGTTGAAAAAGCAACAACAAAATTATTCACTCTATCTTGTCATGTTTTACACTCAAATGCTGTTAAGCCACGCTGTGGCTTAGTGCTAGGCTTGCCCAACACTCATGAGAGCAACTGCAGTGGGTACAACATCAGAACCAACATTATCATAGGCATCTCAACATCAGAACCAACACTGCCATAGGCGTCCCAACATCAGTACCAAAACTGCCATAGATGTCCCAACATCAGAACATACACTCTGATGTCACCAGCTACCAACATCAAGGTTTCACTTTTCAGTTACAACTCACTAGAGGTGTTTTTTAATAATAAAATATTCTGAAATGATATCACATGCATTGTTCAAACACAATTCTATCATATATCCAATAAACTACAGCATAGTGTAAACATACTTCCAAATGCACAGGAAAAAATGTGCATTTTAAAAATGAAAATGTGTGACTTGCTTTGCGTTGGTATCTGCTTTCTTGGGTGGCCTGTAACTGAGCTCATATCTCTAGAAACGTTTAGGGCATTAACTACTCAACAGATGTTTCAAATGGCCTCTTAAAATAAAACACGACCTGTGAACATGGCTTCCAAGTGATGGCATCCCAGACTCTCGGAAATAAGCACATGGCAGCAGACCTATTGTTGAATATACTTCTTTTCCCGTTTCATCAGAGTAGTACTTCATGGCAGCTTCCAGCTGTCCTCAGAAACTAGGCACACCTTCTTCTGGTCAATGTGACCAAACACTGAGTGACAAGTTTCTATAGCTTCTCAGCATTTTCATAGGAAAGTGACCAGCAGGAGAGGCAGCATTCATTGCTCACTGCCCACACTGCCCAGGAAACACTCTGTGTGTACCTGAGCACTCTGTCCTAAGACACAGTAAAGCCATGGCTGGGGTTTGAATTCCAGATCTGCCACTTACTGGCTGTGGGATCCAGGATAGTTTCTCAGTTTCTCCACCACTGCATCATCTGGAAAGAACAGAAGTCCCAGACATGACAGGGCTTCTGTGAGCCCTGAGGGTCAACCACAGGGAAAGGAGGGATGTACAGGAGCCTACGGGAGTCTACAGCACAACAGTCTGCGCAGAAGACATCACACTGACCACTCCAGAGATTGCTATTAGCTCCTGTGTGAAGATCTTGGTAAAGCCGGGTGAGTGCAAGTCACAGCAGGTAAAACCTTTCAAATCCCCCTGCACAGGGGAGGTCAGGGAGCTGGAGTGACATCGGGATGCATTTCAAAAATCACTTAGGCAGCACAGAGGACCCCACTAGTATTTACACAGTGTAAAAAGGCTGTATTAACCTCTGAATGTGAGATAAGTTATCCTTCACACAGAAAAAGAACACAGAAATTCTCTCTTGGTATAATCCATTAGTTTTGCTAGTTTTTATTAGAGCACTACAATTAAGACATTAAATTATAAATTCAGGTGATATATTTAGAAATTAAATTACAAAACAATACAAATACTTTTAAGGTATGATGTGCCAACAAAGTTTAAATGCTATCGTTACCCAGGGGTCAGTTTTAGATTCTACAGAATCTATGGTGTGTACAAAGATTGAAAGGAACAAGGGAGATAGAAAGATGTTTGCAAATAAAATATTCCACAGAAAAATTTAAATAAAAAGATAAGCTTTCAGCAAATTAAATTAATGTTCTAATCTGTTGGCACAATGTACAGAAAATACTTACATGATAATTTCTTAAGCAGACAGCAGCTTTACAAACAGTAATACTTTATACACACATTAAAGTAACAATGTGTTACGATTTAGCAGTCTTGGATTAAGAGTCGAAAATGAATGCAAAGACCGCCCTTTATTTGCACATTATAATTCCCACCCCACCCCTGCTTCCCCAGGTTATTAAAAAAAATCACACAAGTATGTTATTTGGATATTAATTTGTCAATATTTAAATTATTTGAATTCCTTTTGACTAATTCTTTTCCAAACGCTGGAAGCATATAAAATACCGTCTCTTCAAAAATGATTCCAGTCAAAGCCTGTAAAAACTTTCAATGTATAACACACGTTTTTGTTCCATGTTTAGTCAAAAGAAATTATATTACATCATTTACAAAGATTAAAACCAAAAAATTAAGCTATTATGAACACCTGTCTTTGAGGAGTAATTGTTACAACAAACAAGTTTATCAAAGAGGGGGTCTAACCAGGGAGTGTGATTTACACTGTAATTCATGTACTGATAGAAATCTAACACTAATTATTGCCAGTTAAACTACATCTACACACTAAAAAAAAATTCAGTTTTTACTACTTGTGCCAATAAACTCTTATTCTTACCATTAGATTTATTTCTACAACTCCAAAGAGAGTCATACCTACTTCCAAAAATAAAACTTTCCTATTTCTCGTACCTCCTCTAAAGCCTGGAACTCAATATACAGAAATACTCCATACCTAAATTTACCCAAAGGAAACAAATTATAGATACATTGATACCCTCACTGATACAAGGGACACTCTCAGCATGGCAGCACTCCCTTTGATAAGTTTTGGGCTGTCATCTACAAGTGACCAGTCCCCTGTATAACATCTGTGGTCCCTTGGATTTGTGGCAGGAAAGCAAGCCGCTGCCTGTGAGCGGGCGGGCACCCACTGAACTTCTAAACCTACGGCAAAACTAAGTCACTGGTATTTTCAAGATTTCCTCAACTTCTCTTTTGGTACAAGTGTCAAAAATCTAAAATGATGATGTGTGCCCAGAAGAGAATAAAATACAAGCAACTTTGAAAAGCTACTAACTCAAGATCAAGAGCTATCTGAACCACTGACATCGAGTAGGTAATAAGATCATGAAAAGCAGGAAAAGTTTTTAAATCTACTTTCAAGACTGCCAGTCATTCAAAACCTCCATCATTTCTTTAAACAAGTTAAGGCTTCCAAATATGCAGACAGTAAGAATCAGCCCATGTAAATCCACCTCACTGTTGGCTTCATTCCTTACGTCTAACTGAAGTATCAGATACTTAGTGCTTAAAGTCTATACAGGACAATAGTTTAGACTGGACGGTATACTACTGTCCCCTTTAGCACACTAATAAAGTTGACAGACTGACATTTTTTATAGAGCGATGCTCCTAAACTTTCACAATTCACAAAAACTATAAGAATCTCAGCTCTCCAGCATTAAATGCCAGCATTATAAAACTTGGAACGATCACAGTAGGTCCCAATTATTTCAGTAAAGACTTTCTCTAACTTCTCTCTTCTGCCTCTGGGAGGCAAAGTCCTGCCCCATATAAGCAGGGAAGGAGAGCACCCCCTTGCTACTGCCTGCTCCTGGGAGCATGTAGATAGGAAGCTCATGTGTCCATCTGTGTACTGGGAGCTGGGGAGTGAAGGAGGAGGAGATGGAAGACAAAGGATGGGTGAAATATGATTCTCCCATCTCACAGACACTTGTGAAGACAATAGAATCCAGGTGGTGGCTGGACAGCAAACAAAACAGCTCATTAATATTCTCCCAAGCAAACACACACATTCCTGGAGAAGGACAGAGATAAATAATTATGAATAATTTCTGTATATATTTGTATATGATAAATCATCTGAAGGATCAGCACAATTAGAATAACCTTCTCTTTTCTTCTACAGCTTCTTCCAAGCCTTCCCTGAACATGTCACAGACTATGCAAAATTCCTTTCCCTGACTTCCTGTAACTGTGGTTCTTGCTCTGAAGAAGGGGCAGAAATGCACAATTAAAAAAAACAGATGAAATGACTTCCAATGTGGATGCATTTGAATACGCAAACAGATCCACACCTCAAACCAAGAGGGTCCTAAAGCAAACACTAGCAGCATAGCACAGCAGGACAGCACTGCTTTGGGTGTCTGCAGGAAGTGCTGCACTGGTGTAAACCTGCACGCTGTTCACCTGTCAGAGCTTGCCTAACTTTACATACTATGTACAAGAGCATTCCTGAGGTAAGAGACAAGTGTTAGACAGAATCTGGCAAGTCCCACCATGGTGACTGTTTGCTCTTACGGACACCTACCCCTTCCCACAAACAAGATCAACACGCTAACACTTCAGTGCTAGTCTATCTCCTGCAAGTTGTTTTAGTCTATCCCAACTTTCACGGATTACAATGACCAGTACTTCTGAAATAAACGTCATGGACCGAATAAAATCTGCATCCATTTTTAATGCACATCGCTGTGCAGTCTTACTGCCTCAGCCTTTTAGTCCTGACGCTACCTCCGGCTCTTTTCACACGCAGCTTCCATAACTCGGACGATGTTATGGAGAAGGAGATGGGTATGCAAGCAAACACTGGTCCTTAGAATCTCCGTCTTGAATTTGTAAAATAACCTTAAATAGCCATTAGTTGTTTTTCTGTCTGTTTTTCTTTAGAATGGTCTTTAGTTTGGTCTTCTTTCTTTAGTCATTATTTTTCATTACAAAGTAAGTTGAAACAAGTCTGAATTTTCTAAACAATTCTTAGAAATAGACTTGGACACTGTTAAGAGCAAAGCCAGAGATCATAACAAAATAGGTAAGAGCTACAAAAAGTCTGTTGGGAATTAAAAACACGGTAAGTGACTGGAGAGTGGAAGATGCTGAGATGGGAAGTCAGATACATGGCTGCAGCTGGACACAGCTGGAGACAGCTGGCACTTCCTGAGTTATGTACTTTGGGGAGGGGAACTGGAATCAGAGTGCTCTTTGCCCGTGTTACTGCTAAGCTTTGGCTGCTGGTCAGGAGTCCAGGTCTCACTGTCTGCCCCTGACTCCAGCCCCTCGGGCACTTCCGCTGCTTCCTCCCCACTCTGCTCTGCACTGTCTTCCTCGGAGCCAGGAATGGCTTTGCCCAGCTGTAGGGTCTCCATAGTCCTCTGGGTCTCTGAGACCCAGGACTCGATTCTACTATTGAGGTGCACTTCTTCTGACGTCGGTTCATGAGTATAATCTTCCTCCTCCTCCTCTTCATCATCCTCTTCTTCAAGCATGCCAGGTACAAGAGTGCTGGTGGTGCTGGTGATGGAGGAATTCAAAAGATCCCGGCAGCTGCCATCCAAGGAGCCCGTCTCTGTGCTCTGCTGGGAGGCCCACTCCAGGTCATCGGGCTTCAGCTCATCCTTGTCACCCATGGCTTTCCCCTGGCTTGGCGCTGAGGTAATGCTGCCTGCAGCCAGCAGCTGCTGCTTACCCACCAGGGTGGTGTCAAGGACGAGTTTGCTGGGCTTCTCAGAGGGGCTGAGTGTACAGGGAACTGCCTTCTCGCTCTCTGAGGTTTCCAAGCCGTCTGAAGTCTCCACCATGCTTCTCCAATTAGTTTCTACAAGCAGGGAGCACATAGTTGAGAACCAGAAACATGGTTTCAGAATCATGGAACTTATTTAAAACACTAAATTAAGGGGCTGGAAATTTGTTTAGAAATTTGTTGGCTCATAAACTGAGTGAGAAAATTAAACATTTAATTTGCTCTAAAATGAGTTTAGAATATAATAAAGGGAAAGTAATGTTCAAAACAATGTGTACTTGGGCTGGAGAGATGGCTCAATGGTTAAGAGCACTGACTGCTCTTCCAGAGGTCCTGAGTTTAATTCCCATCAACCACATGGTGGCTCAAAACCATCTGTAAAAGGATCTGATACCCTACAGCTATGCTGACTTCAAGGGTCCCTAATTCATAGACAGTAAGCCAAGATGTCCAGCACAAACAGTTCTAACATCAAGGGTCTGGAAGAGCACATCACTTAGGCTTTGTGTCATATGTCACTTCTTACAACCAATGGAACCATGCATTTCTAGTGTCTGGGAAAGTCTGATTTACACTACACGTAATTCAGCTTACACGGTATGTATTACATAACACAAATGTTGACAAAATCATCTTTAAGGACTAGGACTCCAAGATGAGTGTGGCTCTCCCGCTCCCCTGGGTTTATTATTAAAATAAAAAGATCCAATTATCTTATAGTAATTTACATAGTATATGAGTAGTATTATCATGTTGCAGTGAGCTACATGCATTATATTTAACTTGCAGACAGTATTAGGGGCACTATAGTCAGGACACATTTTATACAGAAAGGGAAAGCTAACAAGAAGCCTTTCTTCCCTCAGCTGCTTCAGCATGGGACAGGAGCTCCCATCCTCACTGCTGCCTCTCGGATGCTCCCTCTGCCTCCTATGCTCAATCTCATTCCTGAAACAATCATTCACAGGATCAAAGCACAAGAAACCAGTTGGGGACCCTTGTCCTGTCTTTCTTCCTCATTCTATGCCTCTAGCCCAAGAAACCCGCTATTGTTCTGTATCACTTCTAGCTCAAAAACTACAATTGGTCACTGCAGTCTTAACTCAGATCTTAATTTTTCTGTCTTTTTTATGTTCTGCTGTATATTCCTAGTTTATTTTGTATGCCAGTTTTAAATCTGTCTAACTGGCTTTTGGTGACCGTAAGACAAGATTTAAACTCCTTAGATCACGCCTGTAAGCCTGCCGTGATATGCTTCTTACTTATCTGCCTTTCTGGTCCCACTGCAGCCTGCCCTGACAATCCATACTCACTGCCCATGCAGTCACAGTACAGGCGAGGCCTCCTACTGTCCCTGATGACCCCTTCTAGGAGCTCCACCCTGATCTTCCTAGGAGTGTCCACTGACCTGAACCCACAGCACCTTCCCAGAACTGTTCAAAATCACTTCCTCTGTTTGCTCTTCCACCCCCATACCCTCTCACAGCCACCATCTGTGTTCCTGTAGCTGCCATTCCTGTAGCTGCCACACAGTAAGCGCCATTTTAAAACATGATAGTAAAGATGACTCTGCAGGTAAAGACATTCTCACACAAGCCTGGAAGCTGAGTTCAATCCTTAGAAACCATGGAGAAGTGACACCACAAAGCTGTCCTCTGACCACCACAGAACATGCTGTGACACAGGTGTGCCACACCCTATCATGAACATGCAGAAATGACAAATACAAATTTAAAATAAGTTCGTATTACATATATATTTAATTATGAAAAATAAAGCCTTATAGCTCATTTACATTTCTATCAGCTTTTCTTTTTCCTAGAGAGAGGTTCAGCAGTTAAGTGTTTCTTAGATGCAGTGTTAAAAACAAAGGCTTCCTTCCTTCCATCTTTGCATGCCTTAAATGTGGTGCTCAGACTCTGAGAAGTCTTAGGGCTACTTTTCCTACTGTGTGTCCAAGTGAAGAGCATGGATCACTACCACTTACCCAAGACTTACAGACTTTTCTTGTAGGGTGCTTTTTTTTTTTTTTTTTTTGGTTTTTCGAGACACGGTTTCTCTGTGTAGCCCTGGCTGTCCTGGAACTCACTCTGTAGACCAGGCTGGCCTCACACTCAGAAATCCGCCTGCCTCTGCCTCCCAAGTGCTGGGATTAAAGGCATGCGCCACCAACGCCCAGCTTGTAGTGTGCTTTCAAACTGGCATTTCACACATGTACTGACTTGACCTGTTACATACTTAATCTTCTGTCTTCATGTTGATCTGATCATCCAGCACAAGCATGTCTACCTAGCTAGAGCTAGGCAGTAACACCTACTAACTACAGTTTCTTAAAAGCAAACAACTCAGCTCCACCAAAAGCAACCCTAAACACGTAGCTACAGCAGAGACAAGGAAACCAGGAAAGAATTTCTAACAGTTTAAATTCAGGAGGCAACTTATCTGATAAGTTCACAGATAAGATTTAAATGAGATAAAATGAAAAAGGAACCAAAACAGCAAGTGACTATATGTAATGGGTGACACTGATTCTCAACTTGACACAGGAATCCTTGGGTCTTATCTTCAATTAGGGTAACTGAAGTGGAGAGACACAACCCTAATTATGGGTGGCACTATTCCTAGGCTGGGGTCCTGGACTAAACAGAAAGGAACCCAACTGACTACCAGCACTCATGATGGTTTCTGACTGTGGATGCAATGTGACCAGCCACCCAATGCTCCTGCTGTCTTGCCCACCATGACAGATTGTATTCCCCTTGATCTGTAAGAGAGTAAGTCCTTCCTCCCATAATTCTTGTTATTTTATATAGCATTGTAAAAAGCAACTAACATGCTCTCCTAAAAAAGACAGGAGAAATATCAACTAGTTCCAAAAGTGAGTTAGAGTTCAAATCATTATAGAATCAAGGCAAGAACGCCAATGCAGGCTATGGCAAATGATGCTGTGCCATAACACAGCACTATTTTAGTCTGGACTTACCTTGACTGGAATTATAGAGAACTCATAGTATCAGTTTTCTACATTTGTAAGATCAGGCAGAGTAGTACAATAGAGTTAAGTGGCTTAATAATCTTACAGTTTTAATTACCAAGTATAAGTTATTAGAATAAAACTTCCTATTATTTAGCCTACAGGGGTCAAAAGTATGAAATGTTGGATCTTAAGAAGCTCTTACACTTCTTAGCCTGTTAGAACTCTGTGATGGTGTGAATGGTCCCCATAGGCTCAAAGAACTGAATGCTCACCAGGGAGTAGCACCACTTGAAAAGGATTAGGAGGTGTGGCCTTGCTGGAGGAAGTGTCACTGGGAGTGGGTTTTGAAGTTGTAAAAGCCCACATCAGGCCAGCTGTCCTCTCTCTCTCTCTCTCTCTCTCTCTCTCTCTCTCTCTCTCTCTCTCTCTCTCTCTCTCTCCCTCCCTCCCTCCCTCCCTCCCTCCCTCCTTCCCTCCCTCCTTTCCTCCATCTCCCTCCCTCCCCCTTCTCTCCCTCCCCCTCTGCCTCTCTTTCTCTCTCCCCCCACCCCTCTCTCTCTCTGTCTGTGGATCAGGATATAGCTCTCAGCTACTGCTCCAGCACTTGCCCCTCACCATGATGGTAATAAGACTGAACCTCCGAAATGGTAAAGTCCCCAATTAAATGCTTTCTTTTGTAAGAGTTGCCTTGGTCATGGTGTTGCTCCACAGTGATGGGACAGTGACTAAAACAAACATGATTACATTTCAGGGGCTGAAAGGGTGGTCTCCGTTCCAAATATGTCTGTCTGTCTGTCTGTCTGTTTGTTTTTTGAGACAGGCTCTATGTAGCCCTAGTTGTCCTGGAACTCTCTATGTAGACTAGGCTGCTGCTGGAATTTACAGGGATCCATTTGTCTCTGTCCCCAAAGCCCTGAGATTAAAGGTGTGCACTACCACTGCTGGCTCAAATATTCTATTTTTAATAATGTTTAAACTAATTTTTTAGCCAGAAAAAGGCATGGGCTTGCTTTCTGGTGTCATATAAACTGTGTGGTAGCACACAGCAGTGATCTCAGCACTTGGGGGATAAAGACAGGGATATCTAAAATTCAAGGTCTTCCTTATCCAGTTCCTTATCACAGTATTCTTATCCTTATCACAGGCTAGACTTTGAAGGAAAAGAAAGTATAAAAACAATCAAGAAATAGATTAGAAGGTTATTTACAAAATAGGTTTTATCACTTGAATTATTTCATTTTAAATGGTATGAGACAACTTACCATATTCCTTTTCATTGACTTCAGAAATGGGTTCAGAAATAACACTGCAGAATGAAATGGCGCTAGCTGCGGAGGGGTTGCGTGAGTGGCCCATGTGGTGAGGCACCGTCTTCACACTCCTCAGGGCTTCCTCAGCTTGCTCCTGCTCCGTGACTGCGACCATGTCTTTATATGCCTTCCTGGCTTCCTCCGTGAGTTCCACTAGTCTATTAAACAGGCTCTAAAGGACGGAGATTCTTCTGTGACTAGTCAGCGTTTTTTTATTTTTTTTTTTTTTTTTTTTGGTTTTTTCGAGACAGGGTTTCTCTGTGTAGTCCTGGCTGTCCTGGAACTCACTCTGTAGACCAGGCTGGCCTCGAACTCAGAAATCCACCTGCCTCTGCCTCCCAAGTGCTGGGATTAAAGGCGTGCGCCACCACCGCCCGGCTAGTCAGCGTTTTTTAATTATTAAGCTTCTTACATTTTTAGTTCAGATGAAATTTAGGCAGTACATAAACCACATAACCTTACAAAATGTACTCAACATACATGTGTGTTGTAAATCTCACAGGGTTGAGACAATTGACTCTAACACTATTTGTGATATATTTCAAAGGTTTAAGAAACGTACTCCCCTTTAGTCTGGCACTACAAAGAGAAAAGGAGCATCAACTCTTCTGCAAAAACTTGTGCACAACTATAAAGGAGAGACAGGAGCAGCTACATTATAGTAGCTTAGGAGCTGCAGACGGTTTGGGCCTTTTGTTTGTTTATTTTTTAAAAAACAAAACAAACAACAACAAATTAACAACACTAGCTTTCGACATTAAACCTGAGGGTGGACATCACTGAGGAATTCAAGGAAGCTAACTCTGGCACAGAACTTGAAAAACAGGTACAAGAAGGAGAGGGAAGGAGAGGGCAGCCTTGACTAGGCAGCCATGTGAAATCATAAATCAAGGGAGACACAACAGAAGCATAAAGCATGTTTTGGAGCAGTGATAGTCTCACTTGGGTTGGAATACAAGGAAATGTGCATGTGTGGGGAGGTGGTCAGGGGTACAGAAGATGGGAGTTTCCAAAGGAATTAAAAGTCCTTTAGCCAGATGTGGGACATTCTCATGTTTAATAAAAATGCCAATATTTACACAGCACTAAAGCTACATTTCAACAGCTGTATCTCATGATGTCCCCAGGCACCAAAAAGACTAGCCATACGACAAAGTCTGGTGCTTCCCAGATCATCACTAAAAAACTTTACTCCTGGTAAATGTTTTTGTTGTTGGTTTCTTTCAAGACAGGGTTTCACTAAGTAGCTCCGGCTGTCCTGGAACTTACCATGTAGACCTGGCTGGAACTCCCAGAGATATATGGCAGCTTCTGCTTCACACTCACTGGGATTAAAGGTGTGCACCACTATGCCCAGCACTCCTGGTAAATGTTCTAATGTCTTGATGTCACACTGCTACTTAGAGGACCAGAAACAATGAAAGATGCTGCTCACTGTGCTGACTGCTGAGGGTTACGTGTTGGAATTAGCTATCAAACACATTCATGATTTGTTTTTACAGAAGTAAGAAGAATGGTGAAAAGCAGCCCCACCATGGACCATTAATAATATAAATTTTATTTGTAAAAAGTATTTGTATTTTATTGTAGTGTGTAAATCATGCATTTAAATGAAACCAGTAAAAAGAAAACAAGCATGTAGATTCGTAATTTTGAGATTAACACAGGTATTATAAGCACACCAGACAGAAACAGAAACTAAAGGACATAAGGGAAGAGGAAAAAATATTCAACAGAGAAGCCCTGGTCCACTCCTTTGAGTTGCTACTCACTCCTGGCATGTGTTAACAGAACGGAACAAGACAGTATACCTCCTAAGTTATTCTCGTTTGTGTGTGTGTGTGTGTGTGTGTGTATACATGCAGGTGCACCACAGATCAATGGCAGGAGTTGTTCCTCAGGGGACAGTTAGTGTATTTATTAGACAGGATCTCTCACTGGTCTACAGAGACCCACTAGCCTCTGGCTCCCCAGTGCCGTCAGTACAGCTCTACAGCACCTTGCCTGGATTGAAGTGGGTCAGACTGTTTACTGACTGGGCCACATCCCCACCCCTGTCTCCTAAGTTCTTACCTCAGCACCGAAATAATTGAAGATTCCAACCACACTAACAGGAACCAGCTTGTTCACACAGCGCCCCAGAGCTTTTCTTCCCAGGGCAAACACAAAAGGAATCTCTTGTTCCCGGGCCATGGCTATGACATTGTAGAGGGCTTCATCAAGGCCACCTAAGGCAAGGAAATCAACACATGGAGAGGCCGCCAGTCAGTCACCTACATGCTGGAGCTAACCTGGCTAAAAGGCAGAACACTGCAACAAAAGAAGGACTTACTTGATCTGTAACACACACACATACACATACACATACATACACATACACACACACACACACACACACACACACACACACATTTGTCTCTCTCCACAATTAAATCCCAAATTCCTTCAAACCCAGTACTTTAGTTTCTTAGTAGGGATTAGCATAGAAGAAATGAAGTTTCAATGCAACAAATATTTACTATAAAGAAGTTAGGTGAAATAGTTAACAGAAGCTAATTTTTTTCCCACAGCCTCTAAGCTCCAGTAACAACTGACCACCATATCTAGGGAGACAGATTAGCACAGCGGCTTACAGGTGTTTTCCCTGTGCAAGTGTCTACCGTGCTACCTGACACCTAGACCGTCTGCTCTACCAACAGGGCAAACAAAGCTGCACAGCACGTGTTAGCTTACCCAGGAGCCTCTTATGTGTGCTGGCTAGGTTTACGTCAACCTGACACAAACAAGCTAGAGTCATTTAGCAAGAGGGAGCCTCAATTAAAAAAATGCCCCCACCACATTGACCTATGGGTAAGCCTATGGCATATTTTCTTAATTAGTGATTGAATGTGGGAGGGCCCAGCCCATTGTGGTTGAGGACATCGTTGGATTGGTGGTCCTTGATTCTATAAGAAAACAGGTTGAGCAAGTCATGGGGAGCAAGCCACTAGACAGTACCCCTCTATGGCCTCTGTATCCTCTCCTACTTCCAGCTTGCCATCTTGAATATCCTGAATTCCCTGGATAATAAACTGTAAGATGTAAGGTGAGATAGACCCTTTCCTTCCCAAGTTGTTTTGGTCACAGTATTTTATCAGAGCAATAAAAATCCTAAGATACTATGTAACTGCTTGTTTGTAGGAGACAGATCTCCACCCTAAGCAGAACTGAGATCTTTACCTTTTTCTAGTTGTTTTTAAAGTGAAAAAAAATTTATTAAAGGAAGGTTATGTAAAGTTTTCAGAGCAGAATACACAGATGCAAAGTAATGTACACCCTGACTGATTCTAGTCTGATCACAGTAAGGAGACACTTGGTGAGACAGGAATATTTAATTTTCTCATGCTCAATAATAACTATACTGCAGATAAAGATACGGTTTCTGGCTGCAAGGTTGGTTTAAGTTCCCTACAATGGTAAACCTTTCTGAAGCAAGCATACACACCCTTTGACTGGATCTTCTCACAGTTTGGGGAAATGATGACACACTTGATCTTGTTGAGCTTCATGTGCTTGGTGACCTCCCGTAGCCCCATGACCAGCCGCCGTCTGGCTTTGGCTCTCACAGGGTCCTTTTGGTAGATGCGTTCCTGGAAACTGACAAGCTCTTGTAGAAGGAGGGTCACACATTCATCAATTTCTTTAGAAAGAACCTGGTTACAATATCTGTGAAAGAAGCAAAGAACTAGGTAATTCCATCCTAATTTATTGGCCTGTAATTATAGACTTACAATGAGGAAAATAACTGTGAGGGTGAATACATCCAACAAAGCATTTTTATAACAAGTCATGAATCTCTACAATGTCTAAACATGTTAATCAGAAAAACAACAATACCGGTTCTTGTGGATTTCAGTGAAGTAGCTTTTAGTGCAGGACAGGCTGCCTTGGGAAGTAGTACTGAACTCCTAATTATTACAGTTCTAAAGATAGAAATCAAATGCTGGCTTACTAAGAGATAACAGTTTTATATGTCATTGTGATACATATTACTAAAGTACTTCTAGTAAGAAAGAAATGAAAGTTTTATGAATTTCCTAGCAACAGTTCATCCTCTGACTGAGGAGGGAGGTGCCTGACCCTGCAGATGATATAAAGCCACCAAGGAAATTGGATGACAGGGCCATCAAGGAGATCACAACTCCACAGGGCTCAGCTACATAACTCCTGGGCATAAACTTACAGAACTCTAAGTAAACGACCAAAGAGATCGATGTGTATCCATGTTTACTGCTATACTCCCATAAGAGCTAAAAAGGGAACCAGCTGAGATGGTCTCCAACATGAATGGCTAAATGAAATTGATAAAAATTTATTAATATATACTGGAGTTTTATCCAGCTGCCAAGAAAAATAAATTCAAGACATTTGCAAGAAAAGAGATCTAGGGACCATTATGTTAAGTAACACAGACTCAGACAAATATTGCATGCTTTGTCTCATGAAGAACCTAGATTTACATTTGTGTGTTTGTGCATGCACACGAGTACATCATGAAAGTAGAAAGGATCACTAGAGGGAAGAAGAGATCTTAGGAGAGGAAGAAGAAAATAGATGGTAAAGAAATGTTTATTTGTTTTTGTTTTTGAAGACAGAGTCTCACTATGGAGCCCTAGCTGTCCTGGAATTCACTGTGTAGACCACGCTGGTCTCAAACTCAGAGATCTGCCTGCCTCTGCCTCCTGAGTGCTGGGATCAAAGGCGTGAGATTTTAATCTCACAATATTCAGCGAGAGAAATGAAACAAAGTGACATGAGAGGAGGACTATCTGGGACAAGCAGTAAAGCAGCATAACGAAGGGAGGCAGCTGGAGAAGGGTATGAATGGGCACCAAGCAGAGTGATACATACGTATAAAATGCCAGAATGAAACCTACTCCTCTATGTGCTAAATTAAAGAAAAACATCAAGGCGGTGGACAGTATTTCTTACTGCACAGCCAACTGATCCAATAAATCTGTTTTATTCTCCTAAAAAAAAAAGGTTATAAAATATGCCAAGAAAACTAAAAATACTTAATCATTTCAGCCTGGATAAGTTTCAGCCATGAAAGCATTTCCAACCACAAATATTAGTTTGGTTAGATGCTCTGAAAACCTATGATTATGGAAGATGAACTCAATAGGTAAACTGAAGCCTTGAGGTAAAAGTCAGGCTTTTACACCAAACAAAGCACCTGACTGAGACCATGTGAGGATGCCAGCTTGAAAACAAAGGGGGTATACGGTCCCTATGCACTTAACTCCAGGGCATGGCCGTCATCAGGTTTACTTGTGGACCATCCACCACCCGAAATCTTACCTCACTGCACCAGAGGCAGGCATCTGCCTCATACAATGGAAGACATGGGCCTGAAAACATGTCCAGAAAATCTCATGTATTATGTGCAAACATTTAACCAAGTATGACATAATTTCAGAAGATAGATATAGGTGGATTGAGGAAAGATTAAATGTCATAGACACTCAAAATTAAGGAATTCAACATCAAACTACATTTTCTTCTTTCCTGTCTCAAGCTGTTCGTTTCATACATATGTAATTTCTTTCCATGTGTTTCATTTGCTCCACATCTGCTGTCTGACATATAATGAGTTGCTCGCAGCCTGGAGGCTTCTGCTCAGGTAGAGCTGAGGAGGGAGCAGAGCAGAGCAGAGCGGGGGCTGCCGGACCCATACTGCCTCTTGCTCTAGAGCTCCTTCCTAAGACATTTTCAAAGGTAAAATTTCTTTGTCTACACAGATATTAAAATATGTCACAGCTGCTCTGTGACTCCTTGATTACCTAATCTTAAACTGAGACATATTTGCTTAAGCAAGTGCATGGGTTAACAGTGGAGCTCAAGACCCAACAAAGAAAGAGAACTTCAGACCAATCTCCCTTAGGAATATCGATGAAAAATACTCAATAAAATTCTGCCAAACCAAATCCAAGAACACATCAAAACAATCATCCATCATGATCAAGTAGGCTTTATCCCAGGAATGCAGGAATGGTTCAATATTCAGAAATTCATCAATGTAATCCACTGTATAAACAAACTCAAAGAAAAGAACCACATGATCTCTCACTAGATGCTGAGAAAGCATTTGACAAAAATTCAACATCCCTTCATAGTAAAAGTCTTAGAAAGATCATGAATTCAAGGCCCCTACCTAATCATAGTAAAAGCAATATACAGCAAGCCAGTAGCCAACATCAAACTAAATAGAGAGAAGCTTGAATCATTCTCACTAAAATCAGGTACTAGACAAGGCTGCCCACTCTCTCCCTACCTATTCAATACAGTACTGGAAGTCCTAGCCAGATCAATTAGACAACAAAAGGAAGTCAGTGAGATACAAATTGGAAAGGAAGAAGTCAAAATATCGCCATTTGCAGATGATATGATAGTATACTTAAGTGACTCCAAAACTTCTACCAGAGAACTCCTAAACCTGATAAACAACTTCAGCAAAGTGGCTGGTTATAAAATCAACTCAAACAAATCAGTAGAGGAAGGCTACTGATTTGTTTGAGTTGATTTTATAACCAG